TTATTATTATTATTATTATTAATTATTATTATTACTTATTGCTATTATCATTATTAATATTATAATTATCATTGTTATCCTTCGGCCAATGATCTCAAAAGAAAGATAATAATTACGTTCGGATGAGAGTGTTGCTAAATCTGAGCCGATTTCAATTTTCGTCAAAGGCCACAACGGGAAAAGGATCACCGTTTCCCTTCATACATTCAAGACATCAATTCTATTTCTTCATCTCTCGTCTTTTACTGTTTTCTTTCCTTTTCTTTTTTTTTTTCTTTTTTTTTCATCTATTCGTTCGTTCCTTCCTTTTATTTTTATTTCTGGCCTATGTACTCTCTAAACATGTTTATGACGCACTCGAAGCGAATGCTTTGTCTACGATTGCGCTTCGTTTCCGGTTCTCGTAAGTTCCGTTACACTTCTCATACGGCGCGCGCATTTGAAAAGTTAGCAAACGCGCGGCCTGTTGAAATCTTCTCTTCTGTTTCGATTTACATATTTCGGATCACCGGCTTCTTTTGGCTTTAAGGGCGTATTAAATGAATGCGTGATCAGAGAATGAACGTTCCTCTTTTTTCCTTTTTTTTTTCTTTTTTTTTTCTTTTTTTTTTAGGCCATACACTCCTTCATTGCATAAGAAAAAAATATGAACAGAAATAATCGTTCGTATCGCTATTAAGTTTATGTCGTGTTATTTTATAAGTGTTTATCAGATGGATGAGAACCATGCCCATTTAAAAATTGAGAACTCCGAGTTTTATTCAGTTTTCTCGTGCATATACACGACGAATGAGAATTCTCGATGGAATTTAAAAGATTATTTGATTTTATATCCCAGGTTCATTGACGAATCGTTTGAGCAAGAAACACTAAAAAAAAGAAAAACGAAAAAAATGAATGAATAGCGGTTTAATATAATGTAATTCGAAAGTGACCTATTAAATGAATAAATTTAGTTAAATCTGATAGCGGTGCAACGCTGATCAAATTATTCATAAACATGTTTTATCAAACGAGAGTCAAGACATTTTGTCATGTCTTTGTATATTTTTATGCAATGTTGTAGAATGATATTGTTTCAAATATATTATACAGATAATAATAATAAACAAATTTATATGCCATAACCTGTGTTTAATTTACTTCGATTACCTTGTCCCTTTAAAT